ATGAAACCTAGAAAAAAAAACACCACAACAAAACCAGACACATACTGCATGGTGTTGTATCTATGGATATCATATGCACAACAGTACATGTGGCTGTTTTACTCATGAATAAAGCCCAGAACACCACTTCCCATGATGCACTGCTTCTGAATATATAATCAACTCTCAACTCTCTCAAGTATGTATGTTTCCTTTGGTTTTAAATTAGGGCATTTATATGAGCTCTAAACTCATGAAAGCTGATCTGGAAAAAAAAAGTAAAAAAATTACGACTGCTGCTTTTCATTTATCTTATGCACCACCAAAATCGACAGAAAGAAGAAAATGTCTCCACTCACTACTACAGACATCAGACACTAGGGGCGCTCTCCCCTTACTCAGTCTGTATGCATTAAATCCACAAGAGTCAACACAGACAAAGCAAAAAAAAAACCCTCTCCATATGCCAGAGCTTTTCTGTCAGATTGTGGACTAAACCATTATTTCTTATCACAAAAAAACCCAAAAAACTGGTATGAACCATAAATACAATTCCACAATTCACTGAACAGTAAAGACTTCCCTATGAATATTATTTCACTAAGCATTCATCACATCTTATACTGTTAAAAATACTAAATGACAGCTATAACAGATACTAGCATACTCCAATCTCTCAACTCCTTACAAACATACAAAAACATTGCATGAGCAAAGTCTTCTTTTAAACAGTCAAGTCTAGGGGATTCCAGGGGGTCAGCACAACCGGAGTACAATGGCTGAGCCTCACCCTGGGTGAACCACCTTCTTGATCATAGTATCTCCTCTGCGAGGTAAGTATGAATTCTACATGCACTGGGGAGCAAAATCACTACTGGCTAGACTATTCACTATGATGGAGAACACTCAATTCATTACACAACTTAAAAAAATCTAAAAATACTGTCCTGCTCTACAAGAAACTATGTTTCTCTGTGTTTCTGGTCAACAAAACCCAGTACAAGACTTCAGATGATGCGATGGTTGATAAAGCGGTCAGATATCAAGATATGAGAAGCAATAAATAACCTTTAAAATAATGTTACACACACCGCTTTACACATAAACAAATAGAAATATACATATATACACACACATACATACATTACATATATATATATATCTATATCTATACATACATATATATACACACACACACATAAATATATATACATATATGTACACACACACACACAAATACATATGTAAAACATTTTATAGATGTTATATACACGAGAAATACATAGGCTTGTTTGATTTTTTTTACGTTATTAAATATTGTACTTTTTTATGGACACTGCTGTTTTAATGCATCTACATGCATTACATTTACACTATAATGTAATATGTCGTCTGACTTTTCCTGGCACAACTCCTAGGATGTTCAGGCAGTCTTTTTACTATTTCTTGTTCTTTTAGTTTTTCTTGTTCTTTGGACCATGAAAACCACAGAAGGAAAAAGCCTCCAGCTGTTATGACAGACATGATACACTACGGGTGCTCTCCTATTGCTTTTCCAGACAAGATTCTTAGGACATTTAAACTTTTTTTCCAGTACTTTTTGATTTATATTCAATTTACATAGAACATTTGATGCAGGCAAAACGACATAGTGCCTCATAGTAAGAGAAATTTAGTCTTCACTCTTCTTAAGCATCAAAAACTCTGAACCTAGACACTTCGGAAAATGAGCTTTGTCTCTGTACATTTTTTGTGAGACTGGACAGATTCTGATGTGATTGTTCTTATAGAGGCATTTACACACAATGAGATCCATAAAACAGGCAAACAAACAAAAAAAAGCAAAGGAACTGCACAGAGACAATTACTTAAATCTCTGAATGCTACATAACAAACTCTTATGCATCTATACCATTACATCAAACAACTCTACCTGAACATGCAGCTAAGACGTGATATTTGCGATAACACATGAAAAAACACGACCCATTTGTGTATTAGCATACATACACAATACGTTAAAAGCACTAAACATAAATGCCATGTCTTATTTTCACCAACAGAGGGGGGTGCACCGTTCCCGGAGATACTGCAATACCGGGTCGATGCGTGGAGTGGACGGAGCAAGCCCCTATTCCATCTCCCTGTTCCAAAAATCAATTTAATATATGGTCCCCGGGTAGGGGACGTATCAGATATTAAACTGATAAGAACAGATACTACACTTGATCTTAGCCAAAAGGCCGAGAAGCGATACTGAAACACTGGCACAACGAATCAAGTCACTATTTTAAGCCGACAACACGAGGGCGGTAAATACTGCTTTCGGCTACTATCGTCCCCAAAAAATGCAGAATTCAACAAACATGCCGTTTTACTCTCAAACTCTCCGAAGAAAAAAGGGACTTAGCCGTGCATAAACGCCAAAACATAAGAGCAAGGAAAATGATCATGAGCTCACCAGCTGTCCAATCAGAATCGTCGAAGCACATTTAAGCTTGTCCCAAATTTGTAACATTATTCTAAACTTACATTTAAACAAGATCAACGAGAACATGTGCAGTTCTCTCAAGTAACGTCGCGCGACTTAAAGGAACCTTTTTTTAAAGGACGAAAAACGGTAGTTCTGATAACACCGCTCGCCTCTCAGTGGCCAAATGCGGTATTGCAGGCGAAATGTCGCCATGGAGCCTCTCGGAGAAATGTGAAGGCCAAGTTGCCGATTTGCAGATCATTGTTTCGGTAACACAATTTAAGAGTGGCGTTGTGTAAACGACATATACCACATTAGAAACACATTTAGGTCCACCTACACAGGCGCAATCACAGGCAGAGTTCAGGCTGCTAGAACCGTTGAGATATTCGAGCCAAAAAATACCAAATACAGGCGGTAAACTCAAACTTAACCTAACAGTTTAACGACAACATTTTCAGTTGAACAAAGAATATACACATCAAAACCAGGATTTATGATCACAAAATATTACAGCGTTATCCGGCTTTTCAAACGTTCAACATTCCTCGACTCAAACACGAAATGGCCGTTAACTCCTGAATCACCCCTTTTTCACTTTGAACTGTAACAGTAGTTGTTAGTCAGAAATTTTTAACGCCATTTGCTTACTTTGCATAGCTCAGCATGTGCCGTTTTACAACATAATGCATAAAATATTAAAAACACTTGATTATCTTAACATTAATACTCAACACACGTAAATGTCTTACCTGCACAAGGTGCAAAAGGCCCTTCTTCTTCCTCCTCTTCACTGCGCAGTTTTAACTAGGTTAACCTCTCCTAGCTAGCTAGTTAATTAGCTAGCTAGCATAGTTAACGCAGGGGAACGAACTCCTGACAGGAAAAGAAAATAATAAAAACAGAGCTCCCGAGTGCAAATTATGAGACGTGTGTGGGAACTCGTTAAACCACAAAAACTGTAATGGGGAAGTGGTGGTGTAAAATCTAATAAACTGTATTTTAGCTATGTATTCTAGCTTCGTTTAGCCACTTCGGGTGGGCCTGATGGCGGCGCCGCTAACGTAAGTAGAGCAGCTCGTTAGCTGCACTGATTATCTCAACATTGACCTCGCATTATTAGCGCTGGGCGTTTAAAATTTGTATAACACTGTATTACACGCATTAAAAAGCTATTATTACTTACTTGTGGTAATATTAACATTTTAGTAAATCATAATCTTTAGAAGACGGAGAATACAGGTCTCTCTGGTCGCCTGAACAAACTCAAAGTCAACTCCCCAACACCGCCCCTAGGAGGCCAGAGGTCATCAGCTCACACACTGGCCAATCATGATAAAACAAGAGTCAAAAGTAATTGACATGGACCTGGTTGTCACTAGGAAACTAATAATTGGGTTGTCTTTTTATTACATGCAATTTCCATATTTTTATTAACAGTCATGTTAGATTTGTTTTAGTTATGTATGTAACCAATGTAACCAAAAACACTGAATTCAATGATATATATTTTCCAGCATTTTGATCAGTTTAAAAGATTTCTTCAGTTTTGTGCATTCTTAGAGAACGTACTCCACATAGGAAATTAAAATTTTCAGATGTAGATATTAACGTTTTGAAACCCCCGATTACAAAGCAGTGGTTTCAAGTAATTTTCATGGTAGTGTTATCACATATAACAATGTTTCTCAATCCTGGTCCTGGGGGCCAACTGTCCGGCACATTTTAGTGCTCTTCCTGCTTTAACACAGCCACTTTAACTCCATAATGGGCTTTTAAAGAGCTGATTAGTTGGATCAGGTGTATTGGAAGCAGGGAAAACACTAGAAAGTACAGAGAAGTGGGCCTCCAGGACCAATGCGTAGAAACACTGAGCTATAACACCTCTCTTATCCTGACCAGTGTTGCTCAATCCTGGTCCTGGTGATCTACCTCCCTGCAGAGTTTAGCTCCAAACCTAATCTAACATACCTGATTCAGGTAATGAAGCCCTTCAGGGGCACCTGGATATTAGAGCCAGGTGTTTTGGATCTCTGCTCTCCAGGGTTGTATATCTCCAGGACCAGGATTGGGCCCTGCAATAAACCAAACAGCATCTGTATGTAGTAGGTTCTGTAAAAAGAATCTTACAGGAATCTTTAAGAGTTTTAACTAAAACTAAAGTATAGCTCCATTAATAGCTTATTTTGACTGTCTGAAAATGATTGACAGTTGGCTGAAAAACTGTGCATCTAAAAATGACTAGTTCTAATGTGACAAGCACAATATAAATCAATTGGCACTATCTAAGGTCAGATTAAGGCTTTATATTACTAGAATCTATTTTTATAGAGCAATAGGCCCTGTTGACTCAGTCTTCCTTAAGGAAACCTTGTCCTTACACACCTTAGATTGATCAATCAGCTCTATATCACTTAGCATTGACTTCAACTGAATCCCTCCCATTACACACACACACACACACACACACACACACACACACACACTGTCTTGTGTTAACAACCCATAAACGGCACTGATAGTAGAGCAGTAAATATGAACAGGTATCAAAGGGCATCCAGCAGTTTCAGTCAGATCCCCACCACTGTGCCTGTCAATAGCTGGCACAGTAACAGCAGCACAATCGGTCTTAGAAACTCTGCTTGATTTTATTTGGGCACAGCATCAAGCCTAGCTGTGAATTTTGTTCTACAGCTTTTTTGGTCTTTATATATATATATATATATATATATATATATATATATATATATCGATTCTTTAATCTAAGATCCTAAAGAGATGTGTTGTACAGGAAAGTGTGCGCGGTTAGTAGGTTTGATCCTGTTGCCCTCAGCGTTCGCATGCATGTTAGCCAACGTGCTGCTGTTCTTCCCCAATGGTGAGCGTCTGGAGACCAGTCAGATTTCGACGCAGGTCTGGCTCATGGGAGGACTGCTCGGTGGAGGACTGTTTGTGAGTAATGGTTCACTCTCAGTCTCTTTTTCTCTCTTTGTTCTTCCTCTTTTTCACCACTGTCTTACTCTTTCTCAGTTGCTGCATTCGAAACAAATATATTGTTAACTTACTTCAACACCAAAATCAAATAGAAATACACTTTTAAAAAGGTTCCTAAATGGTTCTAGACTCGGATGTGTCCTAGGAATACCCTTTAACTGGTATAGAAGCTTTACATTGTGTGGAGGTTTCTCATAGTTTAAAAAATGGTTCTTCATACTCATACATCTCATTAATGAGAAGAATTTTTTAAAAAACATCAACTGAACTATCCATCTGTAAAAGTTCTTTAGGCAACTAAAAATGATTCTACTATGATTCTCTCTTCTGCTCTTTAATTACTGTTATACTTCTCTCTCTCTCTCTCTATATATATATATATATACATGTATATATATATATATATATATATATATATATATATATATATATATATATATATAAACGTTGTAGCAAACGCTCACATAAATGGTAACTTTACTAGAAAAAGAAAAAACATCCTTAACTTGAATGGAAGTTAAAGGAACAATTTTTTTTCCAGCTTTGGAGCATTTCTGTTGCTCCACTCATCATGAAATCTTAACATGTTGTAAAGGGCAGCTGGTATTTTCAAATAAAAAAACATTTAAAACAACAAAAATGGAGATAAAGGTTTTGTTCTGACAGCAATGATATACAGTATTGCTCAGTAATCTCCATAATAAACCTAAACATAAAAATTTACTAAGGAAACCCATTTTTGTTTGCTTACAAATGTGAGAAACCTTCACTGAGTTTGCGTAAGATATAAACCTCAAATAACTTAACAAAGTAAGAAGCAAAAATTATTGTTCTAACAACTTGCATTGTATTGCACTTATGCTCTGTCTTAATTATGTATCCTCCTTCTAGGTATCAGCACTGGCTTTTGTTTCTGACAGGTTCTTAACTCAAGGGTAGTTTGGGGTCTAACCTGTCTGTACAACCTAGGATACATTCTCTGAGTGGACAACAAAGCACTTTTTCAAGCTGCTCTGGATAAGAGCATCTGCTGAATGCTTTAAATCCAAATGTAAACTTACTATTTTAATAGTTCAATGAACTCAGAATTTTAAGGTAGCCAGGTTATCAGTTTGGTTTTTTTAAGTTAAAACAACACATCTTTTCTACAGTGCATCTTTGTACAAACATATATGAATGTGTCTGGGCTGGCTGGCTGCTATCCCTGCGTCACACTGAGCTACAATGGTCTGTTATCACCCTACCCATAAGGCTAAAGTGCCCTTGCACTTTGGAGTAAAAACCCTGAAAAAAGAGGTAATCTGACAAATATAGAATAAGATTAGATAAGGTATATAATGTATCAACCCACTACACAGCACAGACATCATCACATGGTATTGCATAAACTGATATTATTAAACACTGTGTCATAAATGATGTTGTAAAAGTCTTTTATTGTGCTTGTGTTCAGTGATCATTTATTGTCCATCAGATGCTGTGTCCAAGCTGTTCCGCTATCAGAGCCGGGGGCAAGGGTTGCTGCGGGAAAGGTTGCTGTGGGAACCGCTGCCGTGTGAGTGAACATGTTCTAGCAGAGAAAAATACAAAGAAAACTTGAACTCAGCATAGAAATGAACAAAAGAAACCTACAACTGTAGCTGTGAAGGAGTGTAGAGAAAGTGGACTGATGTTTGAATTGTTGAATTGTGGAATGTTGCACAAATCAATACATGTTGTAAATGAGTAATAGAGTTCACACAAAGCATGCACCCATAGGTGCTTTTTTTCTGATTTCACATGAAATACAGCTTTCATTTGAAAAATGAAAGAGCTGAAAGAAATGTTAGTTGCTGAGAATACTGGTAGGCTATTTATAGTCATATACGAAACTTCGAACACCCCTGTGCTACGTTTTGTTGATGTTCTAAGTAAAAATAAGTTAACATATCCTCTCTAGGACATTTTTGTGCGAGTTGTGTTATGTCCTGTGTTTAAAATATTGAAAAAAATGTAAAATAAAAATGTGCCATAACTTTTGCACAGGCCACATTTTGTTTATTTTTTTTCTCCCAATATGAGAAATTCATCAAATAAAAAGTAATTGTGCACTAAAATGTGCAGAAATGAGTTCTCTGTAGAGAGACTTATTTTCACTTAGAAAATCAACAAAGCATGTAATGACCAGGGGTGCCCAAACTTCGGCATATGACTGTAGCTGTACTAATACATAGTTCATTGTAATGATAATCTTACAAGTGTGTGTGTGTGTGTGTGTGTGTGTGTGTGTCTGCAGATGCTGAATTCTGTGTTCTCCTCTGCGTTTGGTCTGATTGGGGCGATATACGGCACCAGCGTCGCATCTGCAGGACTGGCTATTGGACCAAAATGCAGAGTGTCCGGTGAGACCTGGGAGTACCCCTTTAAGGATGCACCCCAAGGGTAACTGAGCCTTAAACTAAAGTCAAACAAAAACAGTTAATTATATGTTTCAGGTTAGCATTAATATATTTGGTTGAATTCCCAACTGATGCTAATTCCATCAAGAACTTCTACAGCAATTTGCTGCCTAGAAAATCATAATGTCTAGCATTACATACAAACAGCAGGTGCTTATCAGATAAATGTACTTTTTACTGTAGCCACTAGATGGATCTGTAGCAGTGGATCTCATCAATGTTGTTGTGGTTTAATGCAGATGCATTTCTCTGTACATGAGGAGTTTCAGTCCAAAATATGGTTTATTTACCTGTAATAATTTAGGATATAAATATATCTATTGGATGTACAACACACTTCATCAAAAACACATTTATTTCTCTTATAAACATGGTATTGTTTATAATAGCATACTCTCAGCAACATACATCTTGGGGAAAAAGGAGAACATTTATGGCATTTTGAAGCTAAATCCTTCATATCTTTTCCTGAATTTTGTAGCCCAATCAGGCTGATTTGAGCACTATTATATCAGGTTGTAAAGTCTTTGTAGACAGGACATTTAGAGCACATGTTCAATTATTTTGCTCTAAACCTACCTAAATATTTACCCTGAAGATAATTTAAATATGTAATTTTTTTACGATCTTTTTTCTGAGTAGACATGTTATATTGGTGTATAGAGGCTGAGTTGGTTGACATTGAGCACATTGGCTCTATTTTCTCTATTTTGTCTCTGATTTTACATCTTCAAGGTGGACCAACAAGGTAGATGTATCTAATAGAGAGGACAGTGACTGGACACAATGTTTAAAATCTCCAGTAACACTGCTGTGTTTGGTCCACTTGATCTGTGGTGGTCCTGTGGGGGTTCTCACCATTGAAGAATAGGGTAAATTGGACTAACAAAGTGTGCAGAAAAACAGATGGACTACAGTCTGTAATCGTAGAACTATAATGTGCACGTGTTAAGTGGAGCTGATAAAATGGACAATTAGTGTAGGTGTACTTAATGAAGTGGCCAGTCAGTGAATATACAGTCTTGTGCAAAAGTTCTATATGCAGTCAAGAATATTGTTTAAAACTAATGTCTTGGCAGTAAGCATGTTTGATGTAATGTTAGAATACAAGGTGGACTAACAAGGTAGGGGTGCCTAATAGGGTGGACAGTGAGTGAACACTGTTTAAAATCTCCAGTAATACTGCTTTGTCTGATCCACTCATTACTGTGGGGGTCCTGTGGGGGTCCTGACCATTGCATAGTTTGCGACAGGGGTCTCCAGTAACACTGCTGTGTCATATCCACTCGCTCTGTGGTGGTTCTGTGGGGATCCTGACCATTACATAATTTGTTAGGCCCCTTTTACACTGTACTTAATAATAATAGAGTGGCTGGTTGGTGTATATATAGTCCTGTACAAAAGTTCTTTATGCAGCCAAGAATATTGTTTAAAACTAATGTCTTGGCAGTAAGCATATAGCTTTATAGAAAAATAGCTTTACATTTAATTTTTTCAGATGGCTAAGACTCTTGCACAGTACTGTATTTCTCTCTCTCATCCTCTACAGAAACAGCAGTTACTTGGTGGATAAATCTTTGTGGTCTGTCTGCGTGTTCCCGGAGAATGCAGTTCTTTGGCACATCGTTCTTTTTTCCATAATCTTGGGGCTGGGCATGGTGCAGGTGGTGCTCCTCGCCATCCAGGTCATCAATGGTTGCCTGGGCTGCTTCTGTGGGGACTGCAGAAACAGCAAAGAGGTAAACATTATAGCAGTGCTTTTATAATGTTCCATATTGGTCTACCAGGAAGATGTGACTGGGTGCATGAATTCATTTATTAGTGATAAATTTAGGGCAATTTGACATGTGACACCAAATCAAAATGGCCAAAGAATCAATAGAGGGTTAAAGATTAAACTTTTATAGTTATACATACAGTGACAGGGAAGGCATTTAAACATGCGGGCTCTACACTTATGTACTTCAGTTCTGTGAGTGCACTTTCTGCCATTGGCTGACTTTTTAAAGTGTAAATATGGAAAAAAGATAATTTAGGCTCATTTAGGGCTGGACATACATTAAGTATTGCAGTTGCAGTGCTTAATGTGTGTCCAGTAATTGCAGTAACGATGGTAAATAAGCATTATGAAGTATTTTAGTCTAGGCCTAAGCTTCATCTGGGGCTTAAAACTTCATATTACTATGATAGTGGGTTGTTTTTGTTTGTTTTTTTGTGTTTCTTGAAAAAGTATAACAAAAATGAAAGCCTGATCTATTTAACCAAGTACAAGGTATTGCTTTTTATAGGTCTTAGTTACACTAATAAGGACAGTAGGGGCTTGTATGCCAAATTATTAATAATTAACATATTTCTTACTATTTTTCAGGATGATGGAGGATTGTGAAAAGAAGATTTTATGGCTGATGAGTTATGACGCCATTCATATGCCAGACTCCTTTTTTACATACATGTATGCACTATACTTATGCTGTAAGTACATGTATGGACACCAGCTTCCATATTTACAACTTGAAGATATGCTAATTCAGCACCAGTAAATAGATAAATATCCATTCTGAAATAGGATTTTGTAAATTTATATTTCAAAATTATAGCTGTATTGTGCTTCAGATTTACCAAAAGATCAATTTTTATACATTTAATGACAAGTAGTCCCAAAGCACTCTAGCAATGTGGAAATCAGAGTTTTTTTTTCAGTGTGTGTTCCTTTGAATCCCTCTGAACTTCTGACATTGTATGATTACATAAGCATCTATCGTCAAAGGCAACTTGTACTACACTATTTATGTTGCTGTTATCATTAATTATTAAAGTGAATACATCAGAAAGAGTTATGAATTATTGACTGAAAGTGAATCATTCCTATACTTGGATTTCCCAGGCTGGGTAAGAAAAACAGCCCAAGAAGTTCCATTACAATAGGATTCTATTTGATACCAGGGCTTCATCATTATTAATCAACTAATACAGTGATTATGTTAATGATTAACTAAGTAATCAAAGTTTTACCAAATGGTCAAACAATAAAACTGACAAAGGGATTTTTATTTTCTAATTAACCACCCAAAACCACAATGCCTTCTGAGTTTTATATGCAATAATGATGACAGTAAAATAGTGGAAAATCAAAAAAAAAGTTCTTGACAAACTGTTCTTTGGGCCCTGTTCTGCCTTACAACACCCTGCATGTACCTCTCCAACATGAATGGATCAAAAACATGACAGTTTAGGCTGAAATCCTCTCAAAACGATCAGAAAACAATGTATAGGGCATCATGCAGCAGATTCATAAGCAATTCACGTTATAAAATATAAAAAGCTCCATCACACAAAGTTGTTACATGAAATGCTTATGAATATGCTGCATGATGCCCTATACATTGTCTTCTACCCTATACATGATGCCCTATAGATGTCTGAATTACCTCTCATTTCATATCAAACCACTCTAAAAGATTTTGTTTACATTTTAGACATTGTATTATACAGAAATAATGGAATATTTGCGGAATTCTCCTTTACTGAAAAATACTTTATGAAATAAATGATAAACAAGTAAACATTTAAAATGCTTCATTAAAAATAGAAAAACACTGTAAATGAGTTGGTGAGGCTACTTCAGCTTCAGTTGTCAGTTCTTACCTAGAAACCAGTAGGAACATTCAAAATATGCTTTATCATCATGCAGGTGCTGATTCATTGATGTCAATTTTAAAATCACGTAATCCAGGCCTCAAAGTGAAATTAAACTGCTCTTTAAGTGTGTTATTTTCAAAATTCTATAATTGTGATACTACACTAATTTTGTTATCTGCAGATTGAAACTATGAGGACATTTCGAGCAGCAGGAATGTTCTTAATAATTGCGCTGAGTACTGGAACTAAGTGGACACAACAGCCTCATGCTTGTTATTTACTGGAATGCCTTTGCAGTGCTTTCACTCTTTCAGCTCCACACCAGTATGAACTGGAATTTGTTTGAAAGAAGGGTCAAAGGCCAGGCACTCTTGTTGTGGAAGTGACATCTGCATCTGTACAAACAACCTGGAGGCCAGTACTAATGTAATTTTGTAAAACACATAATTTTACACTGAACTGGGATAAATCAGTGAATATTCTCATGTTTTCAACCTAATCTCTATTTGCTATGTCTGTTTTGCCTAATTTATTAAGAAAGAGCAGAAAAGCTGTGAACTTAAAACACTTCAGTACCTGCCCAGTGGCTCCTATTAAACCTGCGTGTCATGTTGACTGATTTTCTGTTCTTTTAGAGGTTACAGGGAAAGTACAGGGAAATGTATCAAAATTATTGTGTATTGTCAACTGTATGCTACAGATGTTGCAGATTAAACAGAAAAATGGCAGAATATTCCTTTAAGATTTGAGTAGGTGATGCTATTCTTAGATAAAATGAAATGTTGACCTGTACTCAGCACTAAGGGCAGAGCCTGTAATCATAAGGTATCTCACAGAGCTGTACCTGAATCAGTTAGGCTTTTCAACACTCAGTACCTCACAGCAGAAGAAACCCTGGTCCTAGATCAGTGATTCCACTCTGAGGATGCTTCTGCAGATCATGAGCTCAGGTTAAGCATATAATCTTTGTTGCCACAGCACCAGTGAACTGTAATTGTTACCTAACCTGAAGATAAACACCCTATTACTGCCTGACTGTGCCCAGCACTACAGAACCCTGCCAACTCAAGCTGAAGTAGCCTCACCAACTGATAAATGCACACATACCTTGCATGTTTTAGCCATATGTGGTCAGGAGGACGTCTTGTTTGTCATATGAGTTGAATGAATGTGGTCTTGTTTCAGATCAGGTGCAGACCCCTATTTAACTAAGGGACCAGCTGGATCAGCATAGCAGAAAAGGTTGAACACTTTGGTAGCACCGGTTTGGTGCTTTATCATTTGAAATATTCAGGCATACATTTCTTTAACCCCGTAAATGGCCACGGCCCACCGGCAGGCCCAAAGTCTTATTATCCACTTCTATAAACTAAAAATAGCTCAGCCAGTCTGCACTGAAGTACCTGCAGTTGCTGAATAATAAGCCTTAGAATATAATAAAGCTGGGATTTTAAGGAGTTAATTTGCTTTATTTTGTTGCTGCCATAAGAAAAACAACTTTTTAATTTTGTTAATGGGTCATTCTCTGAACAGCGTGGATTTTAATGGAAAAAAAATGAAATTCCTAAAACAAAATATCTTATGGTATTTCTCAGCATCATCTGTTAACACTTTTATTGAAAACAGAGCTTAATGTGTAATGTGTAATGCATTTTTAAAAACATGTTATTTTAAAAACCATGCAAAAGTTTGAATTCCTTTAGTCAAAGTACATATTTGGTTGGTTTTCTGAAAGTGAAAATACATGAACACATAGAATCTACAGAGAATAAACTTAAATTTATTTATTTACTTAGTTTAATATGTTGAAAAGAAAACCCTAAAATATAAAATGCACCATAACTTTTGCACAGGCTGCATTTTTTGTTTGTCTTTTTTCCCCAGTATGTTAAATTAATCAAATAAACAGTAATTGTGCATTAAATGTGCAGAAATTGGAGAACATTTGTACATATATTCATTTAGGAAATCAAAAAAACATAATTTGACCAGGGATGCCTAAACTTTTGCATATGACTGTGTGTCACTGGTGTTAACGCACAAGTTGTTTTTTTTAATGAATGGTCTGTTTTTCACATTTTTCATATGAATACATTGACAGATATATAGCGTTTGATTCGCTTTCATAGCTTGATTAAAAGCCATGTGACAAAAATATGACATTTAACTGCTCTGACAGGGCATCTTTAGGATCCTTGTGTCTCATTATTTCATTAAAATGATGTAGGAAGAGCATAAAAACTGATTAATATAGATTTGAAAAAGATATCAGACCAAGAATGTTTGACTGACATACCTTTCACACGCATCATATCTGGATTTTTTGGAACACAAAACCTTTTAGCTAAACAGGAATCTTAAAGACTAAATCATGTGAGTAATGAATTACGTGTTATTAAGAATTATCTGAATATAGACAAAAATGTAAGGCATGTTTACTATTTAAAGGATTTTTTCAACCCAAGCTTCAACTCCTGGAAACACCCTACCCAAACTGCCCATACTATTTCATAATGCCAGCAGCCCTTAATACTGTGAGAACATGAACGAATAGAAATGAAAAATGACTTAAAAAGTTTGTTACATTAAAGTTAAGAACATTTTTCATGTCTATAAAGTTATCATTTCAAGGTTTTCTTTTGACATAGACAATTTGTTTGTTTGGCAGTGTCAACACATACTAATAATTATTCTAAGATACAAATGTGCCAGATTTTGCTGAATGTCTACTCTTCATCTGATGTCCCTGGGCAAGTTAATGCTCCAAAATATGAACAATATGCAGAAACGAGTGCAGAAAACAAGCCAAAGCAAGAAGTGAAAAGGGGCTTGAAGAAACCCTGAAGCGGGAAGAAAGAGAATGACACCAAAAGACATTCTATGCTTCTTGTCATTCAGATCACACAGCTAAGGACGAGGGGAACGAGAGGGGTGAAAGACAGTGTAGACAAAAGAGCTGAAGGGCTGAGCTAGAGAAAAACATTAAAAAAAAAAAAGGCAGACGTGTTGGGTCAGATTGAGGAAAGGAACAGACCAGCAGCAGTGACAGTTGGTGTGTACTCAAACAGACTAATTCAGTCTGACCACTCTGCCAATTACGCAGCCTTTCAGGCCTCACAACCCACAGAGAGTGCAGGCGCAAAACATACACAAACCCCAACAATGCAGTCCGGAACAGAGGAGAACAGAGCAGAACTGGAGCAGACCAGTTAGAACACATGAATGAATCCGATGGACCGTATTGGCATGGTGCTTAGTAGCAGTGTGTACTGTCGTACTCCACTGTGATCTCAAAATGGCACGTAGAACCGCAGCTCTTAACCCAAACAAAACAAAACACACTGCTATTTCCAGAAAGGTACTTTTAAACATACTCCACACATATTTGTGCTGGCCTTATGCATGTGGATATACAAGCACTGTCATGTTTTGACTGGTGCAGGAATAAACCTTCCACACTGTAAACACATTTCTCCCAGAGTGACTTAATACCTCAGGAGAGACATCACATCACAGGTGCTAGATAGGATGGTATTCAACACGGACTTGCAGGGAGCTGCACATGTACTGACTGTGCAACACTGAGCCAAGCAACAGAGCTAATCTGACATCTTCGTCCATAGTAAGATGGAATATTTTGCAGCATGTGGTCAATATGTTAATAGAATGTAAAAAAAAATATATTGGAATATTCTTTAAAAATATTTCTTTTTTGAATGAAAGGGAGGGAACAAGTGAAGGAGGTGGCTGAGAGGGGGAAGAGAAGGACAAAGGAGGAGGAAGCAGGGGCGGGGGGTCCAAGAAAAGGAAGGGGGGCAATTTGGGGTAACATGACTGGAAAACTGGACTGAGGCGACTTGAGCTGGCCTGTGCCAGTAATAGCTTTGTATGTTCCAAAGCTCAGTACAGCCTGGGAACAAATACAGCTATAGGCTCTGGCGTGCATGAAGGAGTAAACACTTATTACACTGGTAATCTTAAAGGGCAATTCCATCTATTTGAAAAAAAAAACATCTGTGTAGTTCAGATGTAAATAAAGTTATTTAGAGTAGTTTGATGTGAAATCGTACATTCTAGAGTAACTTACAGATAGCTATTTTATTTATGATGCAAATTTATGCAAAAACAATGTTATTAATGCTAAAATAGTGGTAACTCTGAAAAGTGGTAAATTTGTGGCATATTTTTCCATATAATGCCAT